GGCCCAGTTGGTGCTTTAGCACAGCTTGCCACCTATGAAACCATTCACAGCTCAGCAGCCATACGTGATGTCCTGCCAGGAGAAATGTGATATGCTTCCTTTTCTTTTTTTGCAAACCCAGGCAGGCAGCTGAAGCAGGTGGCTTACTGGTTCCCAGATGGCCACCATATGTGGTTAGTAGGCTTTGTGTGGGTTGGAAAGCTACCTGAGGTGCAGGCTGCCATCAAACTGGAAATATATTATTTCCTTATAGTCACCATGCCTTGGTTAGGCCCATTTTGAGTCCATGGCTCAGAAAGGTCAACTGATGGCAGCCAATGAGCTGGGAACCCCTCAGTGTTTGAACAATACCCATCAGAATGTGACGAGTCTCTATCCCAGTTCCGAGAAGGCAAAATTCCTTGCAGGGTTCTCACTGTTTTGGTGATGGCCAGTGGGGGCACACCATAGCTTACCTAGTGCAAGCTCAGCAAGGGTAGGTTCCTGTGGGGGTGCGGGGGGGGGGGTGACAAGCCACTCACAATCCAAAAAGAGCCCATGGACTCTTGCTGGCTTGTCAGCGACTCCAACAAGAAACCCTCACTTTGTCCACATGTAGCAAGAAGCCACTCTATGGTGTCCAGCACATTTAGGAACTGCAACCCATCATTGCAGCCAGCCATGCTCGATTTGCCGTGATCATGCAAGGCAGGGCTTGTATTCTCTCTCACCACAGACCAGCTAAGGTGTGGGAGAAGATGTAGATGTGAAGAAACAGCTGCTTGCAGTAAACAAGAAGACTGTGGGCTAAACGTACTTTAGGGGTACATGGCCTCTTTCTGGGTATTTGAGGCAGGGTGGCAGATTTGCTACTTGTAGGGGTGACTGCTTTGCCCTCACCCCTGCTATGCTTGGCTCATTTATTTGTAAATAAAGCAATGGTTGTTTAAAAAATGCTGTAACTCTGCACTGCTCTCTGTCATCTGACAGTTACCAAACCTGAGCAGCATGGCCCTGCCCCCAACTGCTTGCTGATCAAGGAAGCAGAATGAAGCCCACAACAAGGCAATGCCAACAGGAATTGATGTTTGCACTGAGAACACACCTCAGGTTCGACAGAGAGGACATGTGTGTGCTGACCCCTTTTTAACCTCTATCAGTTGCACAGATGGGCAAGGAGACCACATGGGCTGAACTTAGTGGGGCTTCTGTAGTGCTGGTGAGCACCAATTTTCTAGGAAATCCATCCCACCCCCAGTTCTATGCTGATCAAGCTTCCAAATTCTAAAACACATCTTACAATCATCAGTCAAACGTTTACCCACCCAGGTCCACTAGGAGTAAACCCTTAAATTAAGTGCACTTTGAGACACATAAGGAAAACATCTGGCTGGATACTGAATCCTGAACTGCAATCAATACTGGGCTAACTAGCAGGACCTTGTTCTGATGAATGAGGCAATTCTTATAAGATAAATAAGTGAAATGCAGTGAATGCTTTTAAGCACAGATAATATTTCCTTTCCCACTAAGGCCTCCACCTTTGTTTCTGGCAAGAGTCATGTACTTTAAAATGCATGCGGTACCAATTCAAGAAGTGCCGCTTTCTTTGCTTTTAAGAACCTAAGAAGATTCATGCTTGATCAGGCCAAAAGTCTGTTTAGTTCAGTATTCTGGCCAGCTACATCTCTATGAGAAGCTCACATCAGGGCAATTTTGCTTCCCTGTTCATGTTCCTCATTACATGGTACAGAGATTAATATTCCCCATTACTCGAGATAGCAAACAGCCATCAGGGCTAGTAGCCATGAATAGCTTTCCTCCACAAATTTGCCATATTTCTGTTTAAAGCCATCCAGGTTGGTGGTCTCCACTACAATTTGTGGCAGCTATATTTTGTTTTAAAAAACACTTTTGTCTTTCAGTTTAATTACATAATTCCAGATTCTAGCAAGATGAAAGGGGAAAGGAACATTTCTACCAGTCTTGTACACCATGAAAAATTGTATATACCTCTCCATCATATCTCCCTTTACTTGCTTTTTATTTCCTAAGCTTAACAACCCCAAACATTGTAACCTTTCCTCATAGGGAAGTTGCTCAACTCCTTGCTCATTTCAGATTATTCAGAAGTCAGGCTTTTTTTTTCCAATGGGATTTACTCTCAAATAAATGTGATAAGGCTGCAATCAGTTACCCTGAGCCTATGGTTGTTCATCAAGTTGGAAGCAAGTTCTACTGAGTCCAATAGATCTTACTGTAGATAGGCTAGACATGCACATGGTGGGCATGTCGTGAGCAGAGCTGGCTGGAGCCAGGGGTCAGACTAGATGGCCCGAGAGGGCGCTTCTGACTCGCTGTTTCTATGTTACTCCTAAGTAGCTGGGCAAAAGGAGGTAGCCATGTAATCTGAGCCAATGCATCCCCAGGTGGTCTCATTTTGTACAATGGGGCAGGAAGGGCATGAAATCTCTGCCAAGCGCATTGTCCCTTAACTTGGAGGTTCTATATAATGTAAAACAAACTGCAGGAAAAGAGTGGGTGAAGTTGGATTTGCCACGGTATGTATTGTTTTCTTTACTTCATGACAAACAGGGATGTTGAACCTCCAGCCACAGAGCAGCATCCACCCGTTCAAAGATGGGCATGCCCCAGTCCCTGCCCTGACTGCTGAGGGGTGCTTTCCTGCCTTTTGCATGGGTTCTGCCCTCTCTTAAAGGCTGAAATGCCCCTGCTAAAGTTTAGTTACTGGCAGTTCAGAGCTTTAATGTGCCATCATTTGTGTGCTTAACCAGAACAAAGTCCTACAGTCCACAGCATTCCCCACCTAGGACTTTGTAGGATTTTTTTCTCTCTGTTTAAAGTTATGTAGAATTACACCCTGGAGCTAAATGTGGTACACTGGTCGCACCTTTGCCTTTGAGCCTGACCACAGTTACACTGTGACCTTCAAGAACTTCTCTGAATTTGGCCGTTGCACGGAAAGATGTTCCACATCTCAGATGTCTAGCTTGGCTTTTCTCTGAAAACATCTGCACAGTATATACAGATGTAGCTTCCTGCCTTGGATCTTCAGAACAATCCTATAGGTTGAGTAAGCTGGTGACTGGCCCAAAGTTACTCAATGAGCTTCGTGGATGACTAGATATAGCCTGGATTTCTTGGCTTAGCATGACACCATCACCACTACCTGACCAGCCATTGATTGGGGTATACGTTGCTACAAGACCTTCAGAGCTGTAGGAATGGTGGCTGGCATCAAGGCCTGGGCACTTACAGAAGGACCACATCCCAACAAGGGACCACTGACAGCAGCCCCATGGCCTGGCCCCTTCACTGCACCACTGCACCCTGCTTGCTTGCCTGCCTCCCTCTCCCTCTGGCCCAGCCAGAGCTCATGGTGGGGAGGAGGAACAGCCAATACCACAACTGGCTTGCCTGCTGGCTCTCGGCCGACAGCAATGATGAGAAGGCAGAGGCACTAAGGAGGGTCCACAGAAGTTGTTCTGACCCAGGGGCCCTCAAAAATCTGGTTCCAGCATGGATAGTATCCAAGGTTAGTCAGGTAATTTTAGTACCTAAGGTGGAGGAATAAATGTGCAAGTGCTTGTGGCTTTCTGGGAGCCAAGCTACAACGATAATGGATTAGCTAATCCTCAGTATGCTGCTCTTAGGACACCCCAAATGAGCTGCTGGGGTCTATGACTGTCTGAGGCTCAGGCCAGCCCTCATCTCATGCAAGCACGCAGTTCAGCCTTCCCCCATTCCGGAGCCCTCTTTGGACTTTAATTCCCATCATTTCCAGTCATACAGCAGCGCTGCTTCTGTCTGCCGATGCCAGCCACGCATACACCTGAACAATGGGCTCCAACCGCCTATTTACCTTCCCTCTCTCCCAGCCTCCTCAGCTCACTTTCCTGTTCCCGCTTTCTTGCACTCGCACGTGCCGCAGAGCGACAGACACGCGACCCCCAGCCCGTGCAGCGCAAGACTCAGAGACGCGGCAAGCGTGCTCAGCTGGGCCGTGCCGGGGCATCATTCCTGACCCGCGCCTTGGGGAGCCGGGTCGCTCTCTCGGAGCGCGAGTCACCCTTGCCCGCACCAGCACCTCGTGTTCTCTCGGTCTCGGCTTTGTTTTAACTCCAGCTCAAGAAGACGGCGGTGGAGGGCCAGCAAAAGCCCGCTAGTGCATCTTCCTAGCTTTCTGCCGGTTTTGTTTTCTGCTAATCAGACAAAAAGCTTTCTGAACTGTCTTTTTGCTCTCCTCCTCCCGGCGGAGACGTTTTAAAGAGGAGGCTAGGAAATCAGGCAAATTTGGCTTTTTTTATTTTTTTCTCCACCCTACCGCCCCCCACAAAAGCGGTGGGATCACTTTTGCTGTGGAAATGGCAAGCGCGCTACAGCCCTTCTGCACACACCCACGGGAGGGTCTGGATCGGGCTACCGTGCCTCCTCTAGAGTAAAACGAGAAAGTAACGTCTTTCGGCTTTCTCTGGGCCTAGCAGATCCTTCGTTCCTTGCTCCTCTAGAGGGAAATACGGACCGAGTCAGCCCACTCCTGACCATGTTGCGACGTGGAAAAAAGGAACTGCGCGGAGGGCGCGTGAAATCCTGCCGCGCTTCTTCCCGCGCCTGCCCTTGCCCCCGCGTGGCTGCACGGGTGACACAAAAGAGTCTTTAAGAACGTGAGTTCGGCTCAGATTACCGGAGAGACGTCTGTGGTTGTCTCACACCGCACTCAGACCCACCCGCCGCCGCCGCCCCCTCCGCGCCCCCTTCTCCTTCCAGCCAGGAGTCTCAGCACTCTCGGGAGATTTTGATCAGCCTGTCTCCGATCGATTCCCGGAGATCCGCCTGCAGGGAACAGCCAAGTGCAGGAGGCGGCTGGAAGAGGAGGGGAAAGCGAGGAAGTGGGGGGGGGTGTCGGAGGCAGGAACCGGTGCAGGAGGGGGAAAGACTGCGCGGGCTGCAACCGCCTTCGTCTCCGCCCCCGGCCGCAGCCAGCGCTTTCAGCACCCGGAGCGAGCCGGGAAGATCTGCCTGGAATTATTCCTTTCCCTCTTTTTTCCTCCACCTCTTCTGCCCACCCCGCTTCTTCCCTTGCTCTCGGTTTCCTGGTTGGTTTCGCTTTAGGCTCTGGAAGGTGGGGTGGAGGCGGGGTAGGGGGTCGGGGGCGGAAAAAGAAAAGAAAATGGTGCATGATCGCGAACCGGAGCGGGGCGATTCTCGGCTGCTTTTTCGCTTTTTATTTTGGACCGAAAAGTTGATGGTTCTAAAGGAAGCACCAGCCAACCGGGACTAACCTCCTCACGCTCTCTGTCTTCCTCCCCCCGGTAATGCAAATACTCATTTATGGCGGCAATCTTCTTTTCGGGAGATACGGATCTAAGATTTAAAATCCTTGCCTCTGAATCATAAACTAAGGAGCGAAGTGAGCTGAAAAGGATGTTGATGTGGAATTAAAAACAAAAGCGTTCTTCAGGCGTCCCCTCCTTTCTCCTCCTTTTCTTCCCCTTCCAGCATTGGGGGTAAAAGACGCGGAATTTCTCCTCTTTTGTTTGCTAAGTTCCCCCCCACACTCCCTTTCGGTTCAGAGTTTGCTAGGGGAGGGGAGGCATCCAGGCCGCCATGGCGTCTCTTTTTACCAATGGACCCTGCATCCAAAGTGAAGCCGAAGTAGTCCACCTCTATAGGAGTCTGGAGGTGGGCACAGTGATGACTTTGTTTTACTCCAAGAAGTCCCAGAGGCCTGAAAGGAAAACGTTCCAGGTCAAGTTGGAAACCAGGCAAATCATTTGGAGCAGGGGATCGGACAAAATCGAAGGCGCGAGTAAGTTTTTTGGCCTGTTTTTAATAAATAAATGAATGAAAGCAGCATCTCAGGGGACGGTAATAAGCGTAGTTACATATCCTTGAATGGGCAGCCCTGAACGCGGTTAAGAAGAGGGAACGCTTCGTTTGATAAGATCGGACGTCCAAGTAGTCTTGCTGTAAATTAAGCTTTTTAAATGACATACAGGGGAAGGCTCTGATAGATTCAGAAATGCATTCTTCATAAATATTTATTTTATGGAAATGCTTTGGCAGATAGGTCACAAGTATGCTGTTAGCTTGTTTGACTGTGTTAACTATTTGTGGCATATCAATGATGTAAAAGCAAAAAAATAAAAAGGCGGTGGGGGTGTCCTGGCCTGGTTACCTGGGGAAACCACTGCTTGTTATAAGTGACCTGCTGGCAGCAATAACATTCCTACTTTCTTGAGCATCATTGGCATGTCGGTTTAGGAGAAGAAACTATCACTAGTGTGGTGTAAGCATTGAAGGTGCACTGCTCTGCATGCTTAGAATGAAAAAGGCCTGCATCTCCCACCATGCCCCAGCCAGCCACGCACCCTTAAGGTATTTAACTCAGGCTGTGATCCTGTGAGTTGCATGCTTGATGCTCTTGGGGCTTCTGACTTCGCCCTCCCCATACCTCCCTCTCTGCATCTTTGCCTTCCCCACAACTGCATCTGGGGTGTTTGGGGGGGGGGGGGGGGAGGCTGCTGAAGACTCAAATTACCTGGTGTCCTGGCCCCTCTAGTCTCCTCCTTCCTGAGCACCCCAGCATGCCTTCTTTACCCCCCTTCCCCAGTTGAATCCCCCCCTTTGGAGAGGCAATTGCTGCTGTTTGTCCATGCCAGCTATGAAAGGTGGGAGGGGATCATAGGATGGATTCCCAGCTCTGAGGTCAGAGCACTGTCTCTGACATTTATTTGGGGAATCCAAATGAATCTATAGGTAGGATCTGTAGGATTTTCCCTGAAGGTTGGATTCAAATTCTTTATTGTGTACAAGCCATACTGGATGATTTTGGACCAGTTGCTACCTCTCAGCCTAGCCTAACCTCACAGGATTGCTGTTAGAGGATGTGAAAAAGCTTTTCTTTGCTCAGTGCATAAGTAATCGCTGCTACAAGATGCACATAATGCTTTGTAGGCTTATTTGGATTTTTCAGGGGAAACTGGACGAATTCATGGTGGATGGGGCTGTCACTGCTGTTGATCCATTATAATTAATTAAAATTATGGTATACCCCAGGATACAACCTGCTGGGGAAAAGAGTGGTGAGGGGCTATTTCCTTCATGTGTTGCTTCTGCCTTTCCAAGAAGCATCTTCTTGACTTCTGTAGAAAAGGGAAAGTGAGACTAGATAGAAACTTTCCATCTGATCCAACAGAGTTCTTCATATAAAATTAGGTGGGGGAATAAAAAAGGAACTGCTGAGCATCAATGAACCAGACTTAGTATATAATGCAAAAATTTTGGCATGCATGCAAGGTAAATACAGTTCACTTCCACTATGCCTTTGATTAAACTATGGTGCAAAGATGGCAGAAATTTGGGATTTAGTCACTTGCCAATTCAGAAATATTTTATACTCTTTCGTGCATTATAAACATTTTCCCCAATTATGAATGTTGACCACCTGACAGTTTCACATATTCCACTTCTTCTTGCTCCATTGAGACATTAAAGCTGAAAGAGGAAAACTGATTTCCTGTTTTTCTTACAATTTAATGTGTGTGCATGTTCTTCTCTATCAAGATAACTGATTTATGCCCTTCCCATTCTCAGATTGGAATGTATTCCTATCAGTTCTTCATGTCGGTGCTTTTTATTGAACTTGGAGCACTTTTTACAAGCAAATGCAGCTTTTAAAGCAGTGTAAAGCTTTTTAAACGTTCTCTTATGAGTTTCAAATGCTAGCTCCAACTTATAATGCCTGCAACCCAGGAAAACAGTTAATTGGTTATCTATGATGTGTAACATTTGCCTCCAGGTGACCAGATATTAAGCTTTTTAAAAACTTCTCCATCTCTGTCCTCCTCTTCCTCCTCCTCCTCTTCTGTGCATTCACCACAAGTGAGTACAATATTTATGAGCAGATTGACAAGTAGAAAATATGTTGGGCTTATTAGTTTTGTGGAGTTATTTTCAAGGCTGAATTCCCCTATTGTGGGGTAGGCAAATGGACACCAGTATACTCCCAGACAAGTTTTTCAGTGCCACAGAGTTGGGACTCAGACCCCAACTCTGCCTTTTAGCCTTTTGGATGGTTACTTCTTATTTGTGACTAATGACCTCCCTTGGCAGCCATTTGGTTGTGGTGCCCAGAACAGTTTCTTAAACTTCTAGTTTTTCAAATATGCTCCTGGTTCCAAAAGATTGCCTTCCCCTGCTCCATCAGATACACTACTACATATCAGAGAGCCAGTGTGGTGTAGTGGTTAAGAGCATGGGACTGGGACTCAGACGATCTGGGTTCTAGTCCCCGCTCAGCCATGGAGCCAACTGGGTGACTTTGGGCCAGTCACAGACTCTCAGCCCAACCTACCTCACAGGGTCGTTGTTGTTGTGGGGATAATATGGATGAGGAGAATGATGTAAGCTGCCTTGAGCCCTTTGTAGGAAAAAGGCAGGATATAAATCAAAAAATAAATAAAATAAATAAAATAAAATATCTCCCAGCTTGTAGGGTTACATGTACAAACTTTTATCCGTTATTGTCCATGAAGAGTGTAGCATTCCTTGAAATAAAAAGCTTCACTGGTCTGTGGACCTCACATTTTGACAAATAGTGTCTGCTCCATCTGCACTGGAATTGAAGGAGAAACAGGACTGGGAATTAGTCAGATGAATTCTTTCACCTGACATGAAGTGATTCAGTAGATGGCTGTAGCACTGGACTCTCATGGCCAATCAAGACTAGGAGATGAACCATTCAAATAGAAACAACGCTATTGCTTTTATTTTTCTCAGGCTGATATCCATCTGTCTTAGGAAACCTTAAAGACCATTTGGTATATGCTTTTGTGGACTAGAACCCACTACATAAAATTCATGTCTTGTGTATCTGTAGAAATGGATGAACAGTGAGACAAACAGATGTAGAATCTAAAAATACAGTAGGTCTGTGATGTTCTTTGCAAAGGCCCAAAGTATACGTTTGTGTATTTCATAGTTTCTTGCTCCATTTTTGTTTTGCACATGTTTGTGTGTGCGAGACTAAACATATTTATACAAACGTGTGTTATCTTCACCAGTTGACACCACTTCATGGATCCAAGGAGGTAGGCTCTGCTACAATGAATCTCTGGGATGTTGGAGTTTATGCTTTCGCTGCAGCAGGCTACCTCACTGGAATCTGAGGGTGAAAAAGGAAGAAGCAGCTAATCTCTTAGATAAAGCTATTAGTAACCAATTTATCAGCCTTGCAAGCAGATGTTTTCACAGCTGGGTGGTGGATTGATTAGCTGTAATTCTCCCCTAAGCCCTGTGAGATGGGCCTTTAAACATGCTAATTTAATATCTCTGTCAAAGCTTCATATGTATTAATTTTGGGGATGACGGAGAAGTCAGGCTTGCCTGAGAAAGCACTTTCGGGAATCTTACCTTTTGCATCACGACTTTATAGCTGTCAAAGAGTTCTTTGCAAGCCTCAGTACTGAGTGGAGGATCAGAGTAGTTTGTCCTCCTTGCAATGCTGTGTGCTGCTGTGATTGATGAAATCTTTTCCCCCCCTCTTTGTACACTATTGATATGCTGTAATAGAATGTTCCACTCTTTGCGAGAAAATGCCATTTAAAATAAATGTGTAGCCAAGATTGTCTTTGAGAGGTGCTCATCTGGGGATACTGGAGTGCCTTAGAAGTCCATAATGGCTATATTGATGGGTGTGTGTGCATGCATGTATATGAGTTAGGCACTCACAGTGCAAGGTACTTTATTGTGTTGAACCATTTCTTTATCATTGAAACAGCTCTGCTGTTTCGGAACTTCCAACCTAAAGGATGTTGCAGACTATGTTATCTGTGCTTTGCGCCCACGGTATCTGAGTGAGGGCAAGGAAACATTGCACGGCAGTCTTGCATCGAAGTGCAAATGCTGTCCACTTACCTGGGTGTGTTTAGCTATGTGTCACAGGGTACATTTAAGTAGCGTGCCTGATTTATTGCTTCTCTTGAAAAGCATTACCAACTTGTCCAGTATGGGGCACATCTGGAAAGATGGCACATAGTGGGATAGGGCAGATGGGGCATCTCCCCACCCCCCATCTCCCCACCCCCCTGCCACAGTGAACCTTTTAAAAGCCTAATTGCTACATGGGGGAGAGGCAGTTTTCATCAGGGTTAACATTTCCCAAGCTCTGTGATCTCCCCCAGACAGTCCCCGCTGCCCTATACATTTAGGCTTTTTAAAAGCCGAATGCTGAGCAGCCCTGTAGATTTGGAATAGGCCCTATAGGTTAGGAATGTTGCCAGAGTGGATTTTGCATATCCGTGTGAAATGTTTACATTAGGCAAGCAAGCCCCCAGATCTGGCGTTGCTGTCATTTCAGGAACCACATATGATGGCGTCTTACAAGATCCTCTGCACTTAAGTCTCGTTTCCTGAATTTTAAACGCTTCTGCAGTGTGCCAGTTATGAGCAGTGCACATTGTGTGGACTGTATACACAGAGAGGCACAGGGCCCGGTTCTTCGCTTTCTTGCCACTTCAAAGGAAGAGCTGGGCTTGAAATCCACGTTTTCCCTTCAAATTGTACTAAGGATGAGTATGGCACCATACTGTAGTAGGTGTCATAAAAGGACTAATTGCACGAATGTAAACTTTATTTAAGGGCCATTTATTTTAAGCAGCAAGAAAGGCCTTTCTCACTGGCCCACCCGTGAGAGGAGTCAGGGCAGTGAACCCATCAAAGGTCCTTTCTGTAGGGCCGCCACACCGCTGGCATATGTGCCTTCAGAGTCCACAAGGCCCATTGTTGCATCCCACTATGCTTGCTGTT